AACGTGTCTGATGGCAAAAGATAAAAGGTCAGTAAGTAGTGGTAGTGATAGTGATGATGTGCTAACTCTTTATGATCTGACAAACTTGCTCAATGAATGCTCTAGCATCATTAAGAAGCAAAAGGTCATGAGACACTTGAGCTTAACCACTCCACTTTACTTGAAAAACTCAACTCAAGGGCTAATGGAAGTGTGCCTAACAAGGAACTTGAGAGTAAATACTTCGAGTTGCTTGCTAAGTACAGTGACTTAGCCAAAAAGTATATTGAGAAACTTTAGTGTTGCAAGGAGATAGAGGGTGGGTACTCAAAGACCAAGGGCCTTCATATTGAGCTAACTCAATCCTATCAAGATCTCAACTTTGCTTACAATGCCATCAAATATAAACATAACACCCCTTGCACTAAATATAATAAACTTGAGGTTGTGTTCAACAATCTTCTTGACAAGACAAAACTTGAGGTCCCTAAGGAAAAGAAACATGCTTCTATCTCATATGACTTGCCTTGCAATGCAATTTCTTTATCCACTCTTACTAACCTGTTGAAAGGGTCAAGGAGCTTGAGAATGAAGTGGCAAAGGTTGACCTCAAGCTTTGAACTAGTTCGCACAGGGGGAATACAAGCACACGAGGAGATTCTCTTCAAGCCCTCTAGGTATTTGAACAATCAAGGCCTTGGGTCTTACCCAAAGGAGCCATAGAAAGTACCACCCTCATTGGAACTCAAGCAATGCTTTTGTCAAGGAGGTTGGATCTTATTGTGCCATTGTCAAGAAGTTGGCCATCGCACAAGGAATGCCCTATCCCCAAGCGTACTTTACCTACAGTGCCCGCTATATTCAAGTCTTCTTTTCATGGAACTCACTATCTCTTGAGGAGGATTAACCATGTTAGGGGAAAGACCAAGTGGGAGAGTGTCTGTGCATTCAATATTCTTGACTTGGTTTTCAGCAAGGTGTTGCTCAAGACTTGTTACTCTTGGTGCTGACACTTAGACTAGCTAGGTGATCTTTCCGGTGGAGTTTCTTGTTGGGAGGCTCCAATTGGTGTCTAGGGTTTGTGTAAAGACCGACATGATAGCTAGAGAGGGTGTGAATAGCCTATAAAAATTCTTCAAGGCACAATTCAGACAAGAGTTAGATACAAATATGACCCTAATAGCAACTACTTGCCTATGCTATCAAATAAAACAAGCCTCATACATAATTCTAGTAGAAAGGAAGCACCAAAGCAACAAGCCAACACTACTCAACTACATCTACTTGAGCAACACTAAACAAGCAACTACTAGAAACAAGTTACTTAACTAGTCAATTACTCTAGTGACTACACAAGCACAAGATGAACAAATGAAGACGCAAGTGTAGTGGGGCGCAAACCAAAGGAGACAAGTTGACACAATGATTTCCTCCCGAGGTTCGGTTGCTTGCCAACAACCTATGTCCCCGTTGTGGCGTGTCAAAGATCGCCACTCCTCCAAAAAGTCTAGCAAGCCCTCAAGCTAGCTTAACCTCAATGTTGGTGCTCACCTATGGGCCAACTCAATCACGAGGTACACCCGCTGCCACGAATCCACTAGAGTTGCTCTCCACGATCTCCCGTGGGGACGAGCACAAGAGCTCATCACAATCCTTCACCGAAGCCTCCGCACAATCTCCAAGCGGTGCTCGACGGTGTCTGAGCCTCCAAACCGTCCATGAGGTGGTAACCTCCAAGAGTAACAATAACTCCATAGCGAACATGCTCAACTAGTGTGACTAGATGCAAACGTACTCTCAATGTAAATGCACTATATCACTCCCAACATCACTCAAATGCGACCTCAAGTAAGCAAAGTTAGTGGAGTGGTTATCTCTAGCTTCAATGTGTGTTGGTATCAACCAAGGGGTCCAAAAGAGGTGAAATGCTTGAGCACAACACCTATTTATACCCCTCCCCTCCCACACAAAATTAGCCATTGGCAACTTTCAGCATTGAAAATGGGAGCACCCGATAACTCCAGTGTTACACCAAACTATCCCAATGATCAATTCCCAACAACTAGAAAACTAGCTGTTAACTGATGTTGAACCCTCCAGTGAGCCACCGGACAGATCCGGTGACTGCCAGACACCCTTCGGAAGCTCTTTGGAGTAACACTCTGGTGCCCCCCACTAGAGAGCTTCGGTGAACCAATTGAATCTCCCACATTGTCAGACTTCCAGTGTAGCTAAGCTCCGGTGCGTCACATCTGGTGGCCACTAGAAGTTAATGTGGCAGCACTGAAAATCAACCAATAGTTAGGCACTGAAGAACCCTCTGGTGCACCAACTTCGATGATGACCGGATGCTTTTTCGTGAGTGCAAAACAACCTCGCCAAGTGCAGTTCTTATACCAATTTTGCAAGTGTGCTAACTCCAAATGTGTTCTACGTGAACGCCAACATTTTAGCACTAAGTTAGCATTTTAAAAATATTTTTCAAAGTATTTCACTTGCTTCCTCACCACGTCGCTAGGTCTAACGGATATACAAGGTTAGTTCTCACCTAGTGGCACTAGATAACAACATTAGCTTTGAAGCTCCCCTCTTAATAGTACGACTATCTCTTGTAAACCCAACCGTGCACTCTATCTCCCTTGACCAGCGAAAGCAAAAACCCTACAAGTATACCTTTTCCTTTGGGCTTCCGCTCTCCAATCCATCTTCTCCATGGATGAGCATCTCCAACTTATGGTTATCAACAACTTCACCTTGATTTCCACCTTGCTCAACACCTTGGTGTGGACTAGTTGCAGAGCATAGTGGAGGCGAAGCTAGGCTCCAACCTTCCTCCCTTGCTAGGCGTTGCAACACCGGCTACTCCTATCTATAGACATTATCCATGCGTCAGAGTAAAAAGAGACAAGTAGTGCGCAGGTAGGGTAAGTCAGAAGCTACTTGAACTAGCCCCTTCTTTGTTTGATGCCATGCTTCGCCATTGGTGTTGACTAACCTAGCTTATCACTCAAAGCATTAGTCCACTGGTTGTCACTCAATTATCAAAACTAAACTAAGGCTTTCAATTTGAAACTCATTGTTCCGGAGTGGATAATAGGTATTCATTGGTGGAGACTTGAGACTTTGTGACTCAAGTGAAGAAAATTGGGTCTTTGTGACTCTTCGGAGCTCCAACGTGGATTAGGATGTTAGGGCAACAACCCGATAGCACGAGGGAAACCTGGTTGCTTTTTTTTTTTCTGTTTTACGTTTGCGTTACTTTGATGTCTTAAGCTTTTGCTTTGCTTCTTGGTTCGTGGAAATTTATTTCGTGACAACTAGAATTGAATGTTAAGTGTGCTTAGTGATAGGTTTACTTTTTGCACTTAAGTATCCCTCTCTTAGTGCAAACCTTGCTAATTGATGGTCCTAACAACTCCTTAGTATGATCTTTTCGGTCTTATGTGCATTGCAGCAAGCGGGTGAAATAGTTTCTGTCTAGACAAGATTTTTGTTCCTTAGTGTGAACCTTTATAAATTCTAATAGAGTTTGTGTTGCTTTAATTTTTTTAGAGTTCTAGGGCAAAGGCCCGGTCTTAGCATTAACAAAGACCAACCATTTACAACATCTAGGTACATAACACCATCCCAACAAGTCCACAAAAGCACATGGTAAAAAGTTTTTTTCCCAGAAAACACCACACTAACCTCAGAAACAAATTAAATGGCCCACTCAAAACCCAACTTCACAAAATTGACTCATTTCTCCACTTGAAACACCTCCCCCAAAGGCGATAACTCCACCAGACGACTTTTGGCTCCAACTGGCTGTCAGCTCCCAAGGAGTTGCACTCTAGTACAAGAACTTTCATTTGTTACCCACTTTTTTTTTAGCTATGTAGCCTTGGAGATCTGATGGCTTCAGCTTCTCCGGTCTTGTATTGAACTCCATAATCTTTTCTGGTTGGCAGAGTATACACTAGCCCTGGAGCATGACTTTTATATTTAGATTAGAAAAAGTGGGTGCTTATCTTTCCAAAGAGTTCCCTGAAAGACTGTTGCTTTAATTTTTAGATTTCAGATGACCTTTTCTTGGACCATTCGTTGTTTCACTTGTATTATAACATGGTGAGAATATGCCACTAAGGGCTCCCTTGGAACACAGGAAAGGAAAAACGTAGGAATATTGTAGGATTGCAGATGCAAAACAAATGATTAAAAACTGTAGGAATTTTGATGGAATGGTCGTTTGGATAGGTCATGAGAAAGTCATAGGAATACTGAAGGATTTTTAGCTATAATGAAGTTGTTTTATTTCCAGTAGCTGATCGGACATGGCTACAACATTTCTTTATGTACGAGAATCGTCATTATATAGCTGCAACATCACTTGGTTTCTCATTCTTCATGCACAGGAATTTTACCAAGAGGTATGACTGGATGCTACGAATAATTAGGAATTGGCATGCAAAGGAGTTAATTCCTATGAAACAATATTCATGTTTCCTGCAAACCAAACCATAAGATAAGAAAAATTCCTTTCCGCAGCCGCCGTGCCTGCGCCCGCCGGCCGCTCCGGGGTGGCCGGAGCCGCCACTCCGGGCAGCTGGGGCCCCCGCCCGCGCCGGGATGGCCGGGACCGGAGCGTCCGGGGCCTCCGTGCCTGCGCCGGGATGTCTCGCTGGTTGCAGGCGCCCGTGCCGCCGCTCGCTCGCCGGATGAGCCCGAGAAGGTTCCCGAGGTTTCGGGTTTACAACGAAACGGGTAGAGACCAAATCGATCCGCAATCGAACGGCCACCATCGTAAGTTCGTCAGATCGAACGGCTTACGGCTTAACGGGCCACGTGGCACGATGGTTAGCCCATTTTTAAAAGCAGGATTAGTATATAGAGATTCCTACACAAAACCTACAATCCAAAGGAGCCCTAAATGATATAAGAAGATGCATCACATTTGACAGTAGACTGTTGGACGCCTATCTACTCAATCTCACCCCTCAAAATCCCCCACCAAATCTGAACCTCCAATTTTTTGTTTGGCCATGTCGTCGTCTTCGCCTTCCCTCCTCTCATCGCGGCTCCCCTCCCCCGCCACCCTCTTCACAAAGAAGCCGGCTTCCCTGCGCTCCGTTTCCTCTGCGACGGCGAGACACGGGGTTCGGGTGGTGGTAGCCGCGGCGTCGGCGGCCGCAGCGGCACCGGTGTCCGCGGCGCGGGTGCGACCGTCGGCGGCGGAGGTAGCGCGGACGGTCGTGGAGCTTGCCGCGTCTGGGACGCTCTCCGTGGTGGGTCCCGACGGCTGGCCTCTCGGCGTCGGCGCGCGCTTCGTCACTGATGCTGCCGGTGCGCCCGCGCTCTGCCTGGCTGCCGCGGGGGTCGCCGCGCTCGATGCGCCGTCCAGCTTCCACGTCGAGGTGAGGGGACGCTGTTCGGCTCCTCATAAAGATTGGGTTTTTAGGGGTTCTATTCTAAGATACAATTCCTGTGCTAAGGTAGTGTCAAGCCCGGGAAAGATTCCGTTTTCCTTTCCATCTTCTGATGCGGCGTTCCGTGTTGAGCTGACGACGCGAAATGCTCACAGATTCTAGAGTTGTATGAAATAGCTTGCATTTCAGTATGCCATCCACATCAATAGAAGGTTGCCTAACTATGTGATATGGGAATTAGATTTAAGTTCTTAACTGTTACATTATTTGTAAATATTTAGTGTTGGACAAATTACATAGTATAAGGGTGTTTAGAAAATCATGCAAAGAATGGAACTTTGCGACTTATTTAGTATTTACTGTTTGAATTTGCAAATCATGTTTGGTTAAGAAGGGTGATTAGTGGTATAATGAAACTACTTTGCCAAAAAATATTTGAATTCTCATGCTGCTTTTTGTATGAAATAAGTGTCTTCACTGGTAGCAGTGTGGTTCTTTTTTTATATGCTTACCATCCTTTTTTACCTTTTGGTGGCTGCAGTTTCGACAGAGTGGGGCTAGGACACCACAATGTACTATGCTTGGTGCCTTAACTAAGCCTAGTGATGAATCTGTGTTGAAGGTAAAATTATTAGCATGTTGCATTTTGCTAAAGACATGAATTTTGTTGGGAATAAGCCAGTGGCTATAATGGCAGTGTGTCCGCAGCCCACCCTAGACATGTCCTATTATGCAATAACGAAAATGTATTATTCTTTGCCATCCATTTCATAATAATTTTTTCTTTGACTCATTCTGAGGCTCTGAACCACCATTGCTTCCCATGCTTGACTGTAGTTTTGTTTTTATTTTTTGAACCAAAGTTCTTGAGCATAGTTGGACCAATGCTTTGTATTGTGCCTTGTTAAATTGTGCAGAAGCTTTCTACTAGGTGGCAAAAGAAATTTGGGGAAGAGATTGATCAAGATCTTTTGTATTTAATATCTGTTGATCGGATCTTGCATATGGAAGATTTCAATGAGGTAGAACATACACTTTTATTCAATTTTTTTAGTCTCTTTAAATTGTTTTTTTGTTTTTCGTATCATAAATAAGTGAAACTCAGAGCTCTTATAGCTCTTCTAGTACTCCTACTGGAGTAGATTGTTTATCATTTGACTATGAAATCACTTGGTTTCCACCCTAAACCCTAAACCACGCTGCCCCAAGGTGCTTAGGCTCTAGGGATCCTTGGTCATGTTCTGGTCGTGTCTTTTTTGCTCCAGCCCATGGAGTTTTAGTGATTTTGTGTTTGGGGTGTGTGGGAGGTGGCCCCTTTTGAGTTGGGTTTTGTTGACTCGACTCTTTGTACATTTTCAACTTTTCTTTGTTAATGAAATGGCACGCAGCTCTCTTGCATCGTTCGAGAAAAAAAAACCCTAATTTTCTTTATTTACAACAGTTATATGTGCTCTCATTTCCCAATACTCGTGGACATAATGAAAAAGGGCAGACCCAGTGCCGGAGGCTCCCACATGAGTGGGGTCTGGGGAAGGGATAAACCGAGACAAGCCTTTCCCCCGCAAAATCTGCGGAGAGGCTGCTTCGAACCCACAACCTGGTGACTCAGTGAGACAGCTCTCACCACTGCATCAGGTCTCACTCGTGGACATAATGAGAAGGTAGAAATTGCACTGAGTTATTCGTGGACTGAGTTTCAATTGTTGCTGATTGGTTAGCCACCTGAAGGCCGATGGCCCTAGGCCCACCTAGCACCCAGTGGTTTTTTTTGGCCAAATTTGTCACAATTTATATCAGGCGGTAAGACTCTACCGCTTGCACTAGGCCCGCCCTTCCTCAGACGCCGCACAGAGCGGGAGCTCTCTGGACTGGGTACGCCCCTTTATATTTACAACAAAGGGCGTACCCAGTGCAGAGAGCTCCCACTCTGTGCGGGGTCTGGGCAACAATTCGTGAAAATATTTTCCAGACAACATAACTATCTTGTAATTAACCAATGGTAAGTGCATATTACTTTGGCACTATTATATTAAAAGATTAAAAGAGGGGATTAGAATCATAAATATTTTAGGTTTGTAGAATGTGCGACAACAATGGATGGTCATGATCTTCCTAATTTGCCAAATTGAAACTTTATAAGTAGTATGGATTACTCAAATTTTCTCTTGACCCTGAGATTATGCAAGTCAAAGAGCCCGGCACTTATTATTTTTCTCTCCAATATGCTGCAATAAAATGCTTCCACACTTTACCTTCCATCCTCGTAGCACTTAGGATTGTTTGGCATTCTGCTGCCTGCTGATTTATTCTGTCCATTCAGGACGGCATGTGGGTAGTTCCATCAGAGTACACCAGTGCAGAACCTGATCCTCTACGCAATTTTGCTGAAAACATTGTGGAGGAATTTAACAGCAAAAATGCTGAAGACGTCCATAGGATATACAGCATATATGTCGAATCAGATTTTCAGGTACTGATCTCATTGATTTTCCTACTGCTTTATTTCTTGCAAGATACCTATTGCGAAACCGGTGAAATCTCTCTGCTTCTTGATAGATATCTTATGGTAAAACAATGGAGTTCATTATTGTTGGTCTTTGTATTACTTATGAACTATATATAATCAAACTACAACTCATTTTGTTTCGCAAAAAAAAAAAAAATTACAACTCATTTTGAGTAAATTATTCCAATAGTGTGTTGAAAGTAGATGATTTGGTGTGGTTTTCCCCCTTCCTTAGAATAGATGCCAAGGAAAAGGAATGAAAGTGCCTGTTTCATGTATTGTACAATCCACCTTTTTTAGTCCGATGTGAAGTGTGTGTACTTTTTCAATCTGAAGATTGAATGACTCTGGCTATTATAGACAGCTCAAAATAATCCCTGATGCTCTCTGAGAATTTTATTTTTTTTATAAAGTTTTAGGGCCAAGCCCTAGTCTTTTAACATCAGCCAAAAGACGGTTTCAAAACAGTTTAGCACTATGAGAATTTTATTTTAGGGCATGTTTTGGATAGAGGGGATCAGGATCTAGATCCTTGGCATTTGGTTCAATATGAACAAAGTTCAAAAAATGCCTAGAACAGCCCTGCTTTTCCAAACAGAGTACATGTCTGTAGTCAGATTTGCATCTCAGGAATTCATATTGTCCTGTGGTGACAGGTGTCAGATGTGAAGATGATATGGGTTGACAGGCTAGGTTTCGATTTTCATGTTCATTCTGGGGAAGGTATCTTTGCTGTTCGGATCCCTTTTTCAAGGGAGGTCTCTGATGAGAAGGGGGTAAAATCATCATTCAACATGATGTCTCATCATGCCTGGGAGGTGGAGAAGAGCTATGCCAGTCCAGAGTTTGAGAAGGTACAGTTCTTGAAGAAGGTCAGATAGCAGTGTGAATTCTCTTTCTGTGGTCCATTATTTTTTGTTATTCAGAAGAGGAGTATAGTATGGAGTTTTGGTTCCTCTTAACATGTATTGTTTGTCTTATATGATGATCATTTTTTGTACCAAATACATTTGATGCAATTGACATCATGAATTATGTGATAGTAATTTATTTGAGAAGAGGAATGAATTTGGACCGTAAGATCAGCAAGAATAACTCTGGACCATGAGATGAGAAGCAAATTAGATGCCGCATGAACACCATGCTTTCTTGTAAGGTTATTGCTATTTGACCGTGTCCGTGTGTCATATTAATGTAAAGCTTGGTTTTAGCATGCACAAAGCCTGGAGAATCCACAGCATGGCAGGTAAAACATCTGATGACCACTCGGTTGGTAGATAGAAGGCCCTTCTGCTGGGTATTTTCATGTATTAAAAAAACCATATGGTTATATTCATAGTGTGTAAAACTTCTATGTAACTACTTAGCCATGATTTTTTTAGTGCGTGACCATTATTCATTGCAGCATATGCTGCATGATGTGAATTCAATACATGATATAACCAATTGTTCAATTAGCAAAATAAGCAATTGCTACAGAAAAAAGAAGGTGTCTTCTCTTCCCAGTGTGGGCATGTGACTGTGCCCAGTTGGCATTACTACGTACGATCAGAGTCATGTATGTATTTTAGATAATGCTGAAGATCTCTTACCTTGTGATTTCCTACATGTGCAAGAAAGATGCGGGTAAGAGCTTGCAAGGCATGATTGGAGGGAGGTCAATGGGTTTTCATGTGGGAGAAATTCTAAGAGTTAAACGCACTCTAGGTCCACAAACTTGTTTAGGGGTGCCAGATAGATCCATAAACTTGGAAAATGCATTTGTGGCACAGTAATCTTGAGTTTTGGTTCACTTTATATCCATGTTGCCAAATAAGCAGGTTTATGCTGATGTGGCGTGTCCAGGGTGGACTGAGCCTCCCAGCTGTGTCACGTGAGCGGCGCGTGATGCACCCAGCCAGCCCGCATCCTCTTTGCCAATATGCAGAAAGCCCCCGCCGCATCCTCCTTCGCTCTCTCTCAGTCACTGTCTCTCTCTCGGGCTCCCCTGCTCCCCTCATTCTCTCTGCCCTTGCCTGCACCCTCCACTCTGTCGATCTCCTTCATGGCGCAACAGTGGATCGGCTCGGTCCCGAATCGGCGCAACCTTGACCTCCCTCTCATCATATGCTCGGATTGCAGCCGGCGGAGGGTGGTGCGGTGGGTTTCAACGCAGGAGCACAGCCGAGGGCAAGTTTTTTTACTGTTGCCCCTTCCATAAGGTAAGTTAGGGTTTGGAAAGTTTGATTCTTGGTTGCCTGTGAGCTGCATCTCGATCTTGATTTCATTTTGGCTGCAGAGGAATTCGGGTTGTCCTTTTTTCTACTGGGAAGATGAATATGAGGAGCATCTGAAGGTGCTAGCCAAGGAAGTACTGTTGGCTCCATTGTTGGCAAGTGATGGAGAGCACAACACTGGAGTTCCCAAAGTGGAGGCAGTAGCTTCTGAGATGAAGGATATTGGGCTGGTAGCACCTAGGGAAGAACCAATGGTGAAGGAGTCAGAAGTGTTAGCAGTAGCACCTAGGGAAGAACTGCTTGTGACATTGAAAGCTCTGTGTTTTGTGTGTGTTTGTATGCTAGTAGTTCAGGTGCTGATCTTGTTAGTGTTGTTAGTGAAGTGAATGACACCATGTAGTGTTAGTACTGTTAGTGTAGTCAATGACATCATGTAAATTGTTAGTCTGTACTTTTGTTAACCATAATGATGCAATGGAATGGCAGTTACTATCATGCCATTGATCTTGAAATATTTGACATAAATTGTGAACCCAGTAATCTTTGAGGCTGACAGAAATATTTGACAGGCAATGTGAACCCAGGCAAAATTTTAACAGAAATTGTGGACACAGAAAATATTTGACACCAACTGAGCTTGACATTGCATTGAAAAAGTTCACAAGCAGCATTCATGGCAACCAAGTCACCAACAGTAGCACTTTCATCTTACAGAACCAAAAGCATGTCATCTGTGCGTAACTGGTATCACCACCAGTCAATCAAAAGCATCTATCACCACCTGTGTGTACTGGTGTGAAAGCTTTATTTTGGTTTTGGTGAATTGATGAAACCCTAAGTGCTAACCTAGTTTATCAAGTAATCATGAGATAGGAGCAAAGTTTGTGGTACTTGAAGCATACACCAAATGTTGGTTTGTGGTACTTGAAGCATACACCAAATGTTGGTTTGTGGTATCCCAAAGGAGCAAAGTTTGAGCTAATTGGTTATTCCAACTCGGATTATGCGGGATGCAAGGTGGAAAGGAAGAGCACATCAGGCACATGTCAATTGTTGGGAAGATCATTTGTTTCATGGTCATCAAAGAAGCAAAATAGTGTTGCATTATCAACCGTCAAAGTCGAATACATATCCACCAGTAGTTGTTGTGCACAAGTACTTTGGATGAAGGCCACTTTGAGTGACTTTGGAATCAAGTTCAAGAAAGTGCCATTGCTATGCGACAATGAGAGTGCAATCAAGCTAACCAACAATCCGGTGCAACATGCAAGAACAAAGCACATTGATGTCCGCCATCATTTCATAAGAGATCACCAACAAAAAGGGGGCATTTGCATTGAGAGTATAGGCACCGAAGATGAACTTGCTGATATATTCACCAAGCCATTGGATGAGAAAAGGTTTTGCAAGCTAAGGAATGAGTTGAACATATTGGATTTCTCAAATATGTGTTGATGCACCCCCACTTATATGACATGCCTCTCCTTCGAGCAATCCAAGGTAAAAGTTGATTGGCATAGCATACATCCTTGCTAAGGACATGTTTAGTGCATCTAGTCATCTCTCCATTTTATTAGGCTCATTCATGAAAACCAAATGAATTTGATGTTTATATGGTATCACTATTGCTTCTATGCTTGACTTGATCTAGTGATAGCATATGACATGTTTGTGGGCTTGTAAACCTAGTGTTTAATCTAGAAAATGAGCTCTAAGTGTTTAACTCAACATGGTACAAGATAACCCTTATTAGGAGGTGTGAAGAAGCTTGTCCTTGGATCAAACCGAGTTAAATATCTTTGGCAAATAATCTAGTTTGAACCAAATTTGGGAAAATGATCCTCACCCCATTGATTGACTTTGATAATCTCAACCTATCTATATTTTGAAACCTTTGTGGTCATTGATGACAAAGGGGGAGAGAAACAAAGATATTAGTACATGGGGAGAAAAACGAAGATATTAGTGTACTAAGATAGTGAAAAGACAACAAAGGGGGAGAGATATGACAAAGGAAAGGAATCAATTAAAATTTTGAGCACACAAGTAGGGGGAGCAAGCTCATGAACTTGTATGGTGCAATTGAATGTGCATTTCATATGTTTGCTTGCATGGCACAAGTTTTAAAATTTAAATATCCATGCTTGTGTGGTGTATGCTAGTTGTAGGTTTGAATGATGAAATAAAAAACTAGCATGCATAGGACATCTAATGATTTCATTTCCAAAGTATTGTTTTCAAGTGGTATCAAGCTAACTATGGTGCTAAGGATGGTATAATGGTGCACTCTGATTGGTATCACGCTTTAAAGGTCCATCATTTATACCTTAGCATCATTTGGTAGACATTGTCTCCTATACTTCCTATCTAATCATATGTGCAAGCTACAATCCAAACTCTTAGCACATATGTAGGGGGAGCAATTGCTACCATTTGGGGTTCATGAAACTTGTCCATATCCTTTTACACATGGTAAATATGCTTGAACAAGCAACATGGATTCAATTGAATTTTAAATCATATCTTTATATAAGGGTTGTCATCAATTACCAAAAAGGGAGAGATTGAAAGCTCTAGTTTGGTTTTGATGAATTGATGAAACCCTAAGTGCTAACCTAGTTTATCAAGTGATCATGAGATAGGTAGCACACTCTAAGTGGTGAAGCAAATGAAGATCATAGCATGATAAAGATGATGGCATGGTGATGATCAAGTGCTTCGACTTGGAAAGAAGAAAGAGAAAAACAAAAGGCTCAAGGCAAAGGTATAAATTGTAGGAGCCATTTTGTTTTGGTGATCAAGACATTTAGAGAGTGTGATCACATTTATGTTTGATAGCCGTACTATTAAGAGGGGTGAAACTCATATCGGAATGCGGTTATCAAAGTGCCACTAGATGCTCTAACTCATTGCATATGCATTTAGGATCTAGTGGAGTGCTAACATCCTTGAAAATGTTTGTGAAAATACGCTAACACATGTGCACAAGGTGATACACTTGGTGGTTAGCACATTTGATCAAGGGTGGTGAAGTTTAGGTGCAAGGGTAAGAAACTCCACCGGCGCCCTAGACAGAAAAGACGGAGGTCTCTGTAAGTGACCGAACGCTGGTCTCGGTTGGACCGGCGCGTCCGGTCAGTGGCAGCAGAGGGCGTGCATTTCGGTCTCACGACCGGGCGCTAGCAGGGTGCGTCCGGTCAGTGCTGACGTACGCTGACGTGGGGCACACAGAGGAGACACTATGTGACCGGACGCTGGCTGTGTGCGATCAAGCATGACCGGACGCGTTCGGTCAGAAAAAATCATGTTTGGAACCTTACTAGAAACGATCGGACGCTGAAGTCCAGCGTCCGGTCACTTTGTAACTGACGCGTCCGGTCAACAGATGACCATTGAAATCTGACGAACAGTATTTGAAGCAAGGGACACGTGGCGTGAATCACGTGACCGGACGCTGAGGGCGAGCGTCCGGTCAATATGACCGGAGCGTCCGGTCACCTCGCGTTGTGCCCAGTGAAGGGGTACAACGGCTCTATTTCGTGGGGGCTTCTATTTAAGCCCCATGGCCGGCTCAAGCTCACTCTCTTGGCCATTTGAATTGACATAGCAACCTTGTGAGCTTAGGCAAAGCCCTCCCACTCATTTCCATCATAGATTAAATATTTTGTGAGATTGGGAGTGAATCCAAGTGCATTGCTTGAGTGTTTGCATCTAGAGGCACTTGGTGTTCGTGTTTCGCTGCGGGATTCACTTGTTACTCTTGGTGGTTGCCGCCACCTAGACGGCTTGGAGCAGCGAGGATCGTCGAGCGGAGGGTGGTGATTGTCTCCGGCTCCGATCGTGGTCATTGTGAGGGGTTCTTGACCTTTCCCCGGTGGAGCGCCAAAAGGTACTCTAGTGGATTGCTCATGGCTTGTGTGATCCTCATCTTGTGTTGGTTGTGCGGCACCCTATTGAGGGTTTGACGTATGAAGCCAATTAGCACATGAACCTCCAAGTGAGTGAATCGCCACAACGAGGACTAACTTGTCGACAAGCAAGTGAACCTCGATAAAAAATCATTGTGTTCATCATTGATTCCGAGGTGATTGGTCTTCATTGTTATTCATTCTTGTGATTGATTGGTTCCTTCATCTACATGGCGGTATAACTTTCTTGATCACTCTCTTTACATTACCGCAAACTAGTTGTCAAGCTTTTTAGCGTAGTTAGTTGTGAGAGCTTGCTTGCTTTGTTGGTGTGGCTCTTTAGTTAGCTTTTGAGAGCACACTAACATAGGGTAGTGTTATAGCTATTATGTGATTAGATACTATCGAAACTAGAATTGCGGTAGGCGGCTTGCATTTTAAGTAGGTTAGCGCAACACTTGCTTCACCTCATAATTGTCTAACCAGTTTGTTAAGTGTTGTTGTAGAAATTTTATTAGGCTATTCACCCCCCTCTAGCCATTAGGACCTTTCAAGTGGTATCAGAGCCGAGGTCACCGTTATTTGAGGCTTAACAACCTTCGGTGTTAAAATGGCTCAAATCAACAACACCAAGAAGCCACCCCAATTTGATGGCTCAAATTATCCCTATTAGAATCTAAGATGACTACATATATCAAGTCAATCAATATGAAGATTTGGAAGATGGTAGAAACAAAAATTGAGATAGAAGATGAAGAGGCTCCCACCGCCGCCGAAGAATTGCTACTCCAAAACAATGACATTGCTCTTAGTGCCATCCATGATGCTTTGGATGAGAGAATATTTGAGTAAATCAAGAACATTGAGAGAGCTCATGAGGCACGGAAGAAATTGGAAGAATCATTTGAGGGCACCAAGGCAATTAAGGGTGCAAAGGCATACATTCTCAAGGATAAATTTGCTAGTTTCAAGATGAAGGAAGATGAGAGTGTGTCGGACATGTTCCATCAGATGGAAGTGATTGTAAATGATCTCAAGGCACTTGGTGAGAAGATAGAGGACAAAGAATTCTCAAATAAGTTCTTGAGATGCTTACCCTCAAGATTTGGTACATTGGTCACTATTCTAGTGAGGTCCGGTTTGGATACAATAACACCAAATCAAATCTTGGGAGATATCATGACCGATGATGCTTATAGAGATGATGATGAGAAGGAAGAAAAGAGGGAGAAGAAAGATGAGAAGTGTAACACCCTAAAAATTACATTCTTTTAAAATTAGTAAATATGATTTATTTATGCAAATATGTGTGCATTAAAATATAGGAAAATAATAAATTTTGTGGAATTAAAATTAAAAATAAGGTTAGAAACTTTTTTGATGCATACATGCTGCTGCATATCTAATTTTGTGATGATTGATCTTGATTCAAAGTTCAAATGAATTCAAAACCTATTTGAAAATGCTTTTGAAAATCT